GTCTTGTGCGAATGCTTTTTTTTTTGACCATGGATTAGATAGTACACTTGATCATGGGGGGCGGGGGGGGGAGGCGCTGGCGCATAGTTAGTTAGACTGGACTGTGATGAAGGTCACTTTGAGCTCTGTTAAGCCAGTATGTGTTTAATTCCTTGGCAGTCCAATAAATACCATCCTCGGGGAGAAATAAAACATTGGATGCAGCATGATGACTGTCAAGTTGAGGCAGAGACGTTCAGGAGGTTAGGTTGAGGTGACAAGAAGGGGCTTTTGGAATTTTGCACATGCCATATGCTATTGAGGAGATCTTCTGGGTCTCAGCTTCAATCTTACAGTTGTCTGGGCTAAAGCATAAGTAGTACACATGTAAAAGGATTCGTGAGTCCTGTCCTGACTACATTCCCAGATGTCCCAAGGTCCTGAGTCCCGTGTACAATAGTCCAACCGGCGTGCCTTGAGGCCAAAACGGTCTCTAAGAATCCGGCAAGTCGGTAGACGTCCTATAGGTTGTTAAACTTCAATAGGTCGGTAAAAGTCCCAGTCCAAAAATAGCAGCAGTAACCAGGGAAAACAAAAACAAAGGGTGACACATTCATGGTGAAAGGACTGACTGATCGGAAATCTCTCTCTCTCTCCCTCTCTCTCTCTCGCGCGCTCTGGCACTCATGCTATCAGCGAAGCAGCAATCCTGCTATCTTTTTTCCATCTTTGTTTTTTTAACTTTTTTCCTTCCTTTAGTTTCAATGTGTGGCAATTCATTCCCGTGCTTTGTTGTCTCCCGTTCCATTTATCCTCGTTTCCTTGTACTTGGCGTCCACACTGTCTCGCAGCAATTTCGCTCCATCAGAATTTTTCATTTGTGCTGTCAGTTCGTCCATCAGATTTGGACCTGACACAACACAAGCCAAGGAGATGCATCACGATCCAGGCGTATCGAATCCCAGGAGCAGTGTATGGTGTGGCTCAGCTAAAACTCCTTGTGTCTGCCAACACCGCCCACAACATGACTATCAAACAAACCAAATCTTTGAAGATCAACCACCCAGATGAAATGCAAGGGCCACAAACACGAAACAAAATGACGCTTGTCATGCAAGCACCACCCACACCCGGTACACTATGGCAAGCACCACCCACACCCGGTAAGCTATGGATTATTGTGCAGATTTGTGAGGCATCAGGAATCCTTCCTGGAACCACGCTGCTAGGCAGGGTTGCGTACCTGCCGACCCCCAACTCAGACCGCCGACCGTTCTGCAGCCAACCAGCCGACGGGTCGGCAGTCTGCCGACCGGTCAGAAAACAGCCATCCCCACTGATTTTTTTCAGATCTGAGTTGGGGGCTGTACTGCGCTTGCTGAGTATAGCTTAAATCCGCTGAGAAACTTTTTTGTGGATGGGAAGGGGTATGGGGGGGTATGGGGGGGCATTGGGGGGAGTATTGGGGGAGTTTAGGGGGGTTATAGGGGGGTATAGGTGGTATTGGGGGGGTTATGAGGGTGTTGAGGGGCGGTTTGTGGGTGTTGGGGGGTTGTATAGGGGTATTGGGGACGGGTATGGGGATGTTGGCGGAGTCATAAGGGGTTCTGGACCCAATTCTTTTAATTTTTGTTTTTTATTATACTTTTTCGGGGTGCCAACAACCCCCGACGGGTAGATGCCAACCAGTCGAGAGCCGCGGACCGTCGGGGTATGCAACACTGCTGCTAGGGGAAAAACAGAGAAGACCCCACATATTGAGGGAGAGATCGCTGGTTAAGAATCAAATGCTCACCTGGATAAGCTGTAATAGGCCAAATGGCACCTTGATAGGTCTAAGGCCAACACCATGTTCACCATCATAAGGGCCATGCAGATCGTCTTGAGAGCAAGAGTTCACACAATTGCCTGGCCTCTTTCCCTTTGCCACGCCTCTTTGTGACGGCTCACCATCGGACCCGAAGGACCATTTATCGCCATGAACACTGCCTTCTTCTGGATGTGATCCTTGTGATGGTCTTGGCGAAGGTTGCATTGGTGCTCTTGACGGCCGAATCGAAGAATCAGTGAAAAGTCCACTCGGCATCACACCAGGGGGCCTTGATGCTGGCCACTTGGAGGTTGAAGCAGAAGAGGATGATGATGGTGAGGATGATGTAGATGTACCCTCGTCTCTTCTTCCACTTTCTAGAAGGGACCCATGACCGCCATCCCCTTCATCAACATCAACCTCCATCTGATTACCATCACTTATCGACTCTGGAATTGAACTGCACTCACCCCATGTTGCAGACAACATGTTGCCTATTGTTCAGTCCAACCACTACTTGTGGCCCCCAAAACACACACAAGCTCTCTCTCTGTCTCTCTCTCTCTCTCTCTCTCTCTCTCTCTCTCTCTCTCTCTCTCTCTCTCTCTCTCTCTCTCTCTCTCTCTCCCCCCCTGTGCCCACACACACAAAGGCACAACCATGTGTCCCCCTTTAATTTGTCATGCAAAAGCACATTCAGATCTTCTCCCTGCCAAACGCCAAAAACATCCACTTTTCGTGGGCTGAGGAGATTTTGGAGTTGGATGTACAGGAGGTTCAAAAGTGAGGAACTCTGTCAGACCGCCCAAGTCCGAGTCCCTGATTAGTTGTAGTTCACAACATTACACTACACAATCTGTGAGAGAACGCAGTCAGGCACACAAACAACAGTACGTGCCCTTACATTCTCCAAATGGATGTCATCTCACAAGCTTGCTTATTATTCCAAGCAGTGATATGAAGTATACATCGTTGTCGTAGCCTGCTGACCTAGTGCCACCTCTCCCACATTCGTGGCTAAGCCACATATCTCCTCATGAACCTGTTAGGAAGACTGCTTGTTATCCAGACAACCTACAGACCTGTCTCATCTGCACGTCTGGAAAATTTATTGTCTGTGTTGGCAATCATATGACTCAGTGCTAATGCATCCTGCCGTTCTCCCACTCCTTTTCTTTTTTTAGAAAACCAAACTGGGCAACCAAACTGGGCTTTGCTAGAGGGAGTGGTATGAGCAGCTTCCTCGAGCTGTTCTCCCAGATTAATAATTCATTCCAATTTAAACTGACATTCGGGCGACTCCTTCCTCTTGCGTGCATAGGCAGCATTGCTAAATGAACATAGATTTGTACGACAACTCCTGGGGAAAAAAAAAAGAGGCACACATGCAGGGGATTCCAAAAATCTTCCTGAATGACGGCATTGATGGTCAGCTTTCCAAAAACTCTTGTCAGGAACATCGCCAAACAGGGGTGTTTCACAGTCATTGAAGCTGAAATAACACAACATTTTCAATTAAAAACGTCTTTGCAGCTTCAGTTTCAACTTTCAACCCCATCATGGTGGCATTGTCACAAACACATTCAAGTGCATATGCAGCAGACCATGAGTACGCAAGATGCACTCACATCAATCGAGATTGTAGTGTTTGCTCTTCTTGCACAGTCCGGCCTGACAGTTCCCCCTCTTGCATGTATGTATGTCCATTGTCCTCAACCTGCTCTTCCATCACCTCCTCTTTGTCGAAGTCCTTTGCGGATTCATCCCTTCTTTCCTGGTACACTGCTACTGTGTGATCCCCACTTGCAACAATAAACAGCAAATCTTGTCCCTGCGGCAATCCTAAAAGGGGCGTAGGGAACAAGACTTCTGCACTGCACAACAATTCATAATACCAGCCAGATTGCATGTTCAGACCTCATCTGCACACAGGTTATCAAGTTCAAACAGAAATAACAGACAGAGAGCTAAGGGATGGTTTCTTAGCGAAGTGGCAGCTTTTTTTAAATATACCATGGCATTTTAGGAAAAAGCAGAGGTTCCATAGCTAGGCACAAATGGCCCTCTGCACTCCCAGCTTGGCCCCACAGAATAACAGACAAAAGGCGCAGCAGCAGCAGCAGCAGCAGAGATATATATATATTGTCACATCACTACAAACTAAAAGAGCGCACTTTGCGGAACAAAGAATAAAAGCAAAAAACGGGCACAGTGATAACATGCAAAAATAAAAAGAAAAAGAAAAAGAAAAAGAAAAAACAAGGGCAGATTGAAA